TTCGCTGAAAAAACATCGGTATATTTTGACAAACGGATGGAATTTGACGTCATTTCAAAAAGAAAATACTAGGCTGAGATACATTAGAGTCCACGGCGAATCAGTTTTCTCTGCAAGTTATGAAATAAAGTAAACCAGAGTAGGGTCGATGATTTTCAGCCCTGAAGGACTTCCGTGTGAATCCTAAGTTTCGAATTGTTCATCGACTGGCCACCAAATATTTATGGCTATAAATAAATTTTAAAACTTTTTTTTTTAAGCCCAATAAATTATTCATACATGTCAAGCTCTGTTCGATTTTGTCAGGGCATGTGGCCGTTTTTAGTCGAAACAATTTGTTTGTGGGAACACTTTTACGGTACGTATACGGTATAGACCGAACTCATTCAATGATCGCGACTTAATTTTGAAAATTTAATGTCAAATTTTACCAGACCGACCGACGTGGATTTGGTATCGTTATTTTTGGAATTAATCATGAAGATTTCCTCGTTTCTCTGCTCCGTCAAAAGGAATTACCTATGCTTTTTTTAGGTAACTGTCGCATTAAAATAAAATATTACATCTAGAACAAGCGCCCAAAACACATAACAGGTCCCAGTTCAGTTGCTTTCACGATACAAGTGTCATACAACTATTGGATTTAAAGTGTCGTTCAAAACTTAATAATAGTTAATACTAGTTGTATGTTCACACTTTTCTATCAAAACCACCATTTCGACCACTCGTGTGCCAGTGATCAGTGTTTGGGCGAGCGGTCGGTGTTTTCAATGAGCGAGCGAGCAAAATAACGCGATTAAAATGCGGTCGGTTTCGGTCGGACAAGACCGCGTGGTCGGAAATTAAGCGATGAGCGGTCGATGTAAAAGCGGAAGGTTGGGCGAAATGAGTACTGTATGTTTCTCCGACGAAGTCTCGACTGACAATAATGCTGACAATGGACGTTAGATAAACACGCATTGTTTGCGACGGGAAGCTTATCACCCGTTATATCAGAATCGTCAACAACAGAGTATACAGATAAGATGTTATCATTTAAACCCTTTCAAAGATACACATTATGCAAATATCGACGAAACGGCAGTTGTAGTCTTTTCTGCTAGCGTTTTAAAACACTAATTTGAGCAACGTTATTTCGCAATTCCGATCCTTTGTAAACCTGGGATAATGTATCAAGGTCTAAAGTAACCGTTTTATAAATATTTGAAAATTCAAGAAAAAAGTGAAAAATTCCCTTCTCGCTACCTTAAGTGATAATGTGTTATATTTTGATACAGACAGCGTTATCTATGAATCATGGTTGACGCAACATGTGAACCCCCTCTCGGTTACTATCTCTGTGACTAGACCGATGAATTTTAAGGTGGCCGAATGACATCGTATGTTGTTGGCGGTCCAAACAATTATGCGTACGAGTCCGTTACCAAGGAGGAGGTAATTATAACGTGTTGTAAGGTGAAGGGTCTCACCCTTAATTTCAGAGCATCGCAAATTGGGAACTATAATAGTCTTATAGCTATGGTAAATGGTAGTGGTCCGGAGATTATTGTGGTGAACAACCTCTTTAAAATAATAACAATATCCGTCATATCTATACGGCAGAAGCAAGATATGGCGTATAGTTAATAATAAAAGGGTTGTTTACCATGATTATAAAACATTGCCCTATGGATATACTATGGATATATAATAGATCTAGAAAATTAGTTAATATTAA